TATCATAATAAATATTTACATGCCGGAACTCAAAATTTATTATCGATTATTAGGTTGGCATACTGGCCAGTAAATGGAAAAGATGCAGCTAAGCATGTTATAAAATCGTCTGTTAGGCGTTGCAGAGTAAATCCCAAACCGTGTAAGTTTTTGATGGGAGATTTACCAACTACTAGAGTGACTCCAAATCGGCCTTTTACTAATTGCGGCATCGACTATGTCGGGCCAATCTTTATCAAAGATGGTATTTTACGTCGCAGTAAAATAATTAAAACATATATATGTATTTTTGTTTGTTTTTCTACCCGTGCTACTCATATCGAACTAGCCTCTGACTTGACTTCTTCGAGCTTTTTAAACGTGTTAAAAAGATTTTGTTCACGAAGGGGTAAGCCTTTAAACATTTACTCGGATAATGGGTTAAATTTTGTTGGAGCTAACAACCATTTTATCGAGTTATATCGTGTCCTTAACGATCCTAAACATAAACAAACGGTTTCCAGATTTTTGACAGAAGACCAAATAAATTGGCATTTCATTCCTGCGCGATCACCTCACATGGGAGGTCTTTGGGAGGCGGCCGTGAAATCCACGAAATTCCATTTAAAGTGTGTTTTGGGCGAATCGTCTTTAAGTTTCGAAGAAATGTATACTTTAATTGTACAGATCGAAGCATGCTTGAACTCTCGGCCGTTGACGCCATTGTCAAATGATCCCCGGGACTTTCTTTGCCTAACTCCAGCGCATTTTTTGATCGGGAACTCGCTGACGAGTCCTCCAGAAGAAGATGTCAGGGACGTCAAAACTACAAGGTTGGATCGCTATCATCGACTTCAGCAGTTGAGGCAGCAGTTTTGGCAACGTTGGTCAAGAGACTATCTTACTCAAATGCAGACTCGTTCCAAGTGGCAGCACACAATTGAGACTGGCTTAAAAGTGGACTCTTTGGTTGTGCTGATCGAAGACAACACACCACCGTTAAAGTGGCCGATGGCTCGAGTGATTGAACTATTTCATGGCTCAAACAATGTGGTGCGTGTAGTGTCAGTAAAACTGCCAAATGGCAATATCGTTAAACGCGCCATAAACAAAGTGTGCTTGTTGCCTGTGGAAGTCTAGTGCTCCAACATGTTCGCATTAGGACTTCTTGCTGTTGAAAAGTAGATTTTCAAGGCGGGCGGCATGTTCCATTCCGAGCGCACCCACAAAAACATTTTATCATGGTTCCTGGATTTTTGTAACCATGGATGAGACTTTTTTTTGTTATAATTAATCATGGCGTTTCCAATTGTCATTATTTGTCATTATTATTCTTGAACTTTGTCAAATCGTTAACACACGTTCACAGTCCATTTTTATCGAGATCTTTATCAGAATAAAATCGTTTTTGTCAAACCTAGTTGTTTGACTGGTCCTTCGAAAATCGAAATCATCGAAAACCCCAACAAGTTGTGATGGAAGTGACTTCGAAGTGAGAGATAACAATGAAAACGATAATGATGATGCTGATGATAATAATGACGATGCTGTTTTTGATGATGTTGATGAATAAAACATTTTTTTTTTCTAAAGATACAATTTTGTATTGTTCTGCCTTATCATATTTAGGTATCTTAAGAGCTACTTTAATTTGATTTACCCGGTTGTCAAACGGGAGAAAGTTGTTTGGACACATAAACAAACATTTTTCGCAATTCAACAATAATTGTGCAACGTATGTAGCTCATTGCGGTTTCTGCCATATTGAGAATATGCATATTCTCATAACTACATTTCACTGAAACAAACGGCCGACGGGTTAAAAATGTTTAATGATATGAACAATTTTTTTTCCAATTTTGTTCATCAATTTTAAGAACTTGTATCAGCCTGCAATTTCTGCCAGTCAAAATTTAAGCTTTTAGTAGTAGCTAATTTAATATAAATTATTGGCAGACGGGAAAAAATTGATCTAAACTTTGAAAAATTTTGACATTTTTATTGTTTCTGCCAATTGCTAATATACCTTGGATACATCTGCCAATACATTTCTTGGATTTTACTTTGCATCTCAAACTTATCTTCCAAATGGTAGATGGAAGAAAATTGTTTCAGCATCTCAGGATTTTGATACAACTTCAAAAAGTATTAAATATTATTATAACAACTGAGATTTTCTGCCATTTCCTTATTGATCTCTAAATCGTAAATGCAACATAAATTTACTTTGGCAGACGGGAGGTCGTTGATCCACATGTCGGATTTTTGCGACATTTTAAAATTAGTAATATGACATTTTATACTAACCTAGGGTTTCCGCCGTTTAGCTTTGAAATTTTAGCCATTCCACTTCTTATTGCATAAAGAATAACCACCCTTAATGGCAGACGGGAGAAAATCGTTTTGAAAAAATGGTCGTTATGCACCGGTCTATTAAGTTGTGAATAGTCATCTACATGAATCTATGTTGAATAGTGCATCGGTTACAAGAACTAAGTTCATTGATATTATGAAATTAAACCTTGATATTAAAGAAAATTTCTTTGATGGGAGCTTCCACGGAATGTTCATAATATAAATGAATAATAATATGAATAATATGAATATGGTTCATATAGCCTTACTAGAAACTTATCCTTTTAAGAAGGAAATTCATTGATACAATGTACGGTTCATTTAAAACAAGCAAATATTCCTAGAAACAAAGCTGCACATGCGCAAAGGTAGCTGCAGTCGGGCAACGACATAGAAAAATATGTTGAAATAAGAATAATTACATTTCAATTTTCTTTGTTTGCCCAGCGGATCTGAGTCTACGGAAGGAATTCGGACGTAAATGTGCCATGTTGTCACGTTTAATTATAAAAAAGCGAAAATACTAGGCATGAAGTATAGTTAATTTGAAAATCCATTTTTTAATAACAAAATATAGATACCAATAAAACGCTAAAAGTTTCAACGTGGTTGTTAGATCTATTCTTATTCTAATAACTGATTTCTTCAATTTTGTCCATTATAAAAAATAAACATTTTCTAAAGATACCATCAGTTTTTGACAATTTGGCAAACATCCGGCCTGGATGAACCTGATTGGTGGAGTTTTTGGCAGGATGGCCGTTGCCACGAGAAACCATGTAGTTGTCAATGGGCTAAACGTCACCTTACGTCTCGCTATTGGCCAGGGCTTCTGTCATTGTATCCTCCCATCTTGGAATATCGATTTATATTGAAATATCCAGTGGCGGAGGTTTGGTCATTTTCGATTTTCGTGTAGGAGTTGCAATACGATAACACTTCCAAAAAATTCCGCACGCAGCTGGGTATTTTATGAATGGAATCAGCCATTTTTTTTTACAACTGCATTCCCCTTACCGTTGCCCCGTAGACACAGAGTCGCTGGGCAGACATTACGTACTCCGTTCAAGTCGTTTTTTTTGGTTTTGTGTTGTTCGAGGTATTAAATAGAAAGTCAGTTATACCTGTCACCGGTTTTTTCTAAAGGTAAGTTGTATACCTCTATTACCTCTATAATATGTATACCTATTATGTAGGTAGGACTTTGATGCCCTGCACGGAGACGGTCTAGTCTCAAAATTGGAATGCGAAAGAAATGACCTACAGATTTTAATGTCATCCGAGGAGAACGTGAAGGACAAGAGCGTCAAAAGCTCCTCAGAATTTCTAAGGAATCCTGAAGTCTCTAAAAGTAAGTATACCCAATCTCAAATCATCAAGTTGTAATTTTTTTCATCGATATATTTTTGTTAAATGGTTTTGTTTCACTAGGTATAGAAAAGCAAAAGATTCAATGCCGCAGCTAGTGTTTCATAGTCCGCAAGGAAACCAGCCAAGGCATCAAATCTAATTTTTGTGATGTGGCTTGTTTTAGAAACTTTGGATGTTGCTAGTTCAAAAACAGCTGGAGCAAACGTAGGTATATTATATATTTAATCTACGTCGGTGTCATTATGACACATTTAGCATTGTCATTTGAATGCCATTAGGTCCTTCATAATAGCACTAGTGCGTTTAAGAATTCATAAAAACACCCAAATTATGAAATGAAAAATATACAAAAAGAAAGCTAGTTATCAGAAGAACCTTTTCACTGATGCTGTTTGGATATTTGAAGGGACACTTTCGAACTCATACATAAGTACCTACTTAGATTTTTGAATTTTCAGATTTTGGGATGCCCATTGGTTTGTTTCAATTCTGGAAGATGATACGAAGAAACCAACTTTTGCATTAAAAGCTTTTTTCTTATTGCTCATATTCATCCGTACAGGGGCCACGCAAATATAAAAAATGACCTTGCACCCCATTTAAAATCATAAGTATATTTAAGGCATAGGTAGTTCATGAAATTATTTTAATAAAAATAAAGAATATGGTTCATATTATTGAAAACGTCATTAATAAATACAATGAATGAAATTCTTAGTATTCAAGACTGTGATTCATAAATGCAATGAAAGGGTTTCATCAAATTATATCTGGGCTTCATTAATATTATGCCGTCTGTTCATCAGGCCAATGAAAAAGTACATATAAACTAAGAACGATGTTTATTGTTACTATGAAAAGTTTCATTAATACAAAAACCTTGCTACATACTTCAATGTTCGTTGTTCATACACAAGATGAATCGAACTAGGAGTTAAGAAATTGTTCTTCCTTCAATAACGTAGGGTTCATGTGATCAAAGAAACAGATCTTTGGACCGATTTTAATGAATTGTTCATTAAATCAAAGAACAATTTCTTTTTATTTATGCTACTATTTGGTTGAGTGAGAGACCTAGTTGTAGTAAAGCTATTCCTCAAGTACTTTTTTTGTTTATGCTATATTTTCTTTATTCATTTGTAATAATTCTGAAGTCCATCATTATTTAAATAAGAGATTTCCAATTTGCAGACATAGATGTTTCAATAAGGGTGTTCCCATCCCATATTATGAAACCAGCTACGACTTAGTTATAGTATTCGTCTTCTAAAGATTGAAATGAAATGAATCACTAATTAATAAAAATATACTTTTTATTGAAATGTTAAATCAGTAGCTGAATAAGTACATGAAACATACGCCTAGTGGCCGAAAATAAATTCATTAGGTAGATTCGGTCGTCGAAGGTCCTTCTGATACTGTTGAGGTACTACTTGATGGTGAATTTTCTAGAAGTTCTTGGCGAGTTCTTGTACAAACTATAACAGAGTAAATTGAGGAAAAAAAAAATTAATAGAAACCAGCAAAATAACCTTTTTTCGATCGTTCCCATCCTATAAACGCATTATTTTTCTTATTTTCCTCTTCGAGCCATTTCGATAATGGTTTGAAGAAATCCAAAATTCCTGTTGCGTCCATGGTTCGTTGTCCTGTTAAAACTTCCAACGCATCAGGCCATGGTTTCGAAGAGCCCATTTCCAACATTTGTCTGGAAAAATAATAATTTTCAGTACGTTGTCCATATTATATTCACAACTTACTTCAAAAGATTTCCTGCTACAGTGTTTTCGTAAATATCACATTCGTGCAACTGCTTTTCTACATTATTCGGCTCATATTGTCCGGCTTTTTCGCAAAGAGATCGATGGAATTGATATTGGAGCACAAAAGAGATGAAATATCTATAAAAGGTAAAAGATTTGGTTAATATATTCACGTAGTTATACAGACGGGGAGATTTTAAGAACTTGAAATTAAATCACCGGCAGTTGTTTATATAACTTCTTTCTGTACCCGGACTAATATTAAATCCGAATTTTTGAAAAGGTTACTAGAACTTCAGCGATATGATTTTGAATTGGCTTAAGCAAATTTGAACTGTGATAAGGACACCATATGAATACCTTAGATATGGTACATCGGCAACAATATGATATTTTCCAGCAGGATCAAAGTCTTCTTCACTTCTATCAACTGGTGGTTCTACACCCTGATATTTTTCTCTTAATTCCCACCATTTGCAATTGTAATCTTCCGACGTGGTTTTTCCAGAAAATATATCCCATCGCCACAAGTCCATCAGGTAACCGAATGGCAAGAAAGTTATTTTACTTAAACCAAGCTGAAATGTATATTTTATTATTTTAAATATTTTTTTTTTAGCAAACAATTATACTTTGAATAGGTTGTTCAAAACTCCTTTTGGATCGTCTTTCTCATTGGGTAACAATCCGATTTTTTTCAAATGTTTATTGCTATTAACAGAAAGTGCTATCAAATCACCAATAGCTTCATGGAATCCATCGTTAGCACCCTCGCGGAATTGAAATGGTTGATCTTTATACTGTAGAAAGTATTCTATGTGGCCCATTTCGTGGTGAGCCGTTATAAATTGTTCGTCAGTTACTTCTGTACATTGTTTGATTCTAAAATCTTTTCCGTCGTAGAAATCCCAAGCGGAAGCGTGACAGATCAATTCGCGATTCGCAGGTTTTTCCAAAATTGAGTTGTTCCAGAAGGTTTCCGGCATTGCTGTTAGGTTTATTGACTTGAAGAATGCTTCGGAAGTTTTAAAAATCTCTGTGGCAGTGTAGTTCTAGAAATTGGATTTAATTCATTCCTTAGTCTGGTAGTTGCTTTCGTATTATCTCAATTAAATAAGTAAGTACCTAATTACCTACCAACATATTACCTTTTCTATAAGTATGGCGGTAAGATTATGATCACGAACGTCCGGATATGGCAACATGAATTCTGCAACATTATTCCATGTTTGAGCCCACATATTACCGAGCAAATGAGCAGGAATCGGTCCTTTTTCGCTCACAATATCGCCGTATTTTTCTCTCAGCTTCGTTCTTACGTAGGCATGAATTTGAAGGTACAGCGGTTTAAGTTGTTCCCACAAATTGAAGACCGCGGTTTTGAAGTTCGGATCTTCGTAGTCGTGGAGCCAATATTGGGAATTGTCGGTGAAGTCGTTTAATCTAGCTGCTTCGTTGGAAAGTTCTACGTAATCCTATAAATATAGAAACTGGATTCGTATTTTTATAGGTTTAGATTTTTTTTTTACATACCTTGTACAATCCACGGCATTTTGGTCCAATGGCATCCCTCCATTTCAACCAGGTGTGCTTTAGCTCTTCAGCGTCTCTAGATACAGCCAATATTTGAGTTAGATCTAAAAAAATAAAAATGATAATTCAATTCAAGGTACAAAATATTAAGTACAAAAATATGTAGTTAGTAAGTGAAGAAACCGGCGAAATAGAGTAGAAAAGATAATTTGAGAAATGAACGGAGCGAGGAGAAAATCGAATTAGTTCCAGAAAAATTACCATCAAAGCTAAATCAAAAATATCTGTTGAGAAAATGAAAGAGATTACTGAGAGTTAGAACAATCACAAGCCTAGTGGGACGCAAAATGTTCTAAACGTTGTATTAAGATTGGACATACGTTTTGTTAGTAGGTACTCTTGCAACTTTGCGCGACTCCTTTATAATAGGTATAATTACCAGGTTCTAAACTCAGATTACACTCTTTTCCATCTTTGCTGTCTTTAGGACAAATCTTAGCTTTGGAATAAATCGTTTCCATATCGCTAATGATTTTGTTCAGTTGTTTGAATTTCTCTTCGGGCAGAGCAGATGTGCCCAATACTGAATATTTTTGGAATTGCCTTCTTAAGTTGTAGTCGGAAAATCGTTGCCAGTTAAACTGGGTCACTCTTTGCCATGCTTCCTTTTCATTTTTGGCAACTTCCGAAGCAATAGCTAGCTACGAACAAGAACAATTTGAATAAAAACTCTGGCAAAAATATAAAGACTTACCTGAGCCTGCAAGTTTTCATCGGTCAGATTAGAAGCGTATGCCCATTGGGCTATGGCAAGTCTGTTAGCATCCCTTTCGCTCTGCCTATTCAACAATATTAGAAAGTTGCGTGCTTCGTATTCTTCTTCTTCGATATTAGCATCTTTGGCTAATATTTTATCACAGTATATTAGGAAACATACAAGTGCTAGGTGACATATAATTATTCTTGGTATCATCTTGTAGGATTAATTTCTGGAAAAAAATTAAAGTTTGTAATTTGGATACAATTTCTTATACATTTTTGGTTTTGGAAATGTTGGTATTTGTCAAAACAAAATGTTGTCAAAATGACATAGGTACACAAGAAAAAAATCCCTCTCTTTGGGTTTCCCAGCTAGCAGGAGTGGGCAAATTTCTCCTTTCCTGTTCAGAATTCACAAGGATGCCGACGTGATGTGTGCCGATGTGATCGCGTCAACAAAAAGCTTTTTGAGAACTAAAAAGAGAATACTGGACAGTAAGGATAGGTATCGATTATCGATGCTAAAATAGTCCAATTACTCCTTTAATACAGTACCTTTTGCAAAACACGTTGACGACGACTTATAGCGCAACAGGCTCGAAACCAAACAAAAGCTCTTGAATCCCGTAAATCCTCTTAAACCTAGCCAATCCAGATTTGAGAGAATTCCCACAATCGAGAGTTTCGGAGCGATCGCAAAATACTGCTAGGACCGCTAGGTACTGCTTACTCTTGGATGGTTAGGGAACCATAACTGGTATAACTATTTATTATATTTGATAAGGTAATTGTGATATGATTTTTAATTATATTAATGACAACTCCAATCTACATTGACATGAACATTATCTGAATAACGGATTGTTGGATAACGATTTCTTTGTGATCGCCTTAACTTTTGAAATGCCTGTTGAATTCCAGATTCATTAGGTTCTGGCGGTTTATGAATTGACCTGTCTCGTAATACCTGAATCGGCGCACGCAGCCTGTGGCAAGCAGGTGATGAAGTGAAGTTTGTTACGGGCTTGCGTCATATTTCTATATATCTATTCAGGGGTGAGTTCAGAAGTAATCGTTCCTTCTTTCTTTGTAACGAGTAATTCGACAAAGAGCAAAGTAAGTACTTTACGTATTACTTGAATACACCGCAGTGTTGCTTAAGGTTATACTTGACACTTTGCAATTTTATTGTGCGATGTTGCCGGATGAAACATTTATCAAAATAAAAGTGCAAACATACACTTTGAAGCTCTTCTTTTGTCTGATAAGGGGCCAGTTGTACAATCTTGGTTCAAAACAGAGTTCAACTGAACTCGACTGGTACTTGAACTTCCCCATTTGAAATGCATTGCTGTCAAAATTGATAGAATTTGATTAATGCCTGACAGCAGTGTATTTTAAATGCGCGATAATTTAAATGTAAGTACTCTAGTGACAAGTTTTATTTTGACTTTATCAATGATTGAAATGACTATGAAGTGAATTGACGATGAAACTTTATTGTATAAATATTATTATCTTGAGTTAATTGACTTTGAATATTTTTGTGCTTAGTATAGATAGAGAAATTTAATTCAAATGACTGTTAATTGAAATGAATTTTACTGAAGAGTTTGGATTATCGAGTTGACTGTTTTGTGCTGTCTAGAAAATTATTAGTTAGATATTTTGGTTTCTAATTAAATGAATTTAGATAAAATGTTCATTGTTTTGATAATATTTACTCTAAGTACACGATTTGGAGTATAAGTATTGTACAAAATTTGGCAGTAAGCGAGTTCAGGGATTTTATACGCTCATAGAACAGGAAGTTATAATAATTAAACTAAATTATGAATTATTGTTTTGAGGTGTAAAAGGTGTTTAGGATTTAAAAATATTGTACCTAACGTTGTAGGGCTATTATGAAAGTGTTATTAAAGTACAAGGCTTTTTGATTGCATCATTTGATTTAGAAGCTCAGAGACAGTGAAAAGGTGGCTGTACGATTGCATCAATTTAGAACTATTTATTTTTGTATTGAAAGGTGTTGGATTAGTGTTTAGAAAATTTTGTACCATTGTAATTGGAAATGAAAATCTGTTTATTTTCTCATTAATTAAGTATAATTATTAACAGATAATTATATAAATCAGTTGTTTCTTTCAATTGCAAATAGACCCGCCCCCACAATTTTATTTTTCAGTAGCTGCCCAAGGAAATAATAACTATCAAATACGACCGCTCGCAATTTACCATCTAACTTAAATAATACAGTACCTACTTGGCGCGGAAGCTACAGTGTATTAAATATAGGACTGTTAAAAGGGAATGCCTCCAGAATCTTGTATGACTGTTGTCCATTGAATTGACTGTAGCTGATGTAAAGTACCATTGTTCTGTTCTGTATCATCCACCTCAGAAGGAGAATTCCAAGTTCATCGATTTATTTGGAATATTTGGATACAGTGAGTGCTTTTGACGGAAACATAATTATCATAGGTGATTTTAATTTTGACTTACTTAAACCCTCTTATTATAGTCAAAAAGTGTTAAATAAGACTTATTCGAATGGATTTACTCAAATAGTTACAACACCAACAAGAATAACTAGATCAAGTCGAACTTTAATCGACTAGGTATATAGTAACAAACGATAAACACATATCACATAAAGTTCACCTGACACCAAAAAAAGTGATCATTGCCTTTTATCTATTCATATTGATCAAATAAAAGTTGAATCGACAGTTACCATATGCAAAAGAAGTTCTAATATTTTTGATAAAATGTGTCCCAAGGTGGAAGTGGAAATTAATCGCAAGTATAAAAACAAAAAATGGATAAATGAAGATATTAGAAACCTAATGAAAGAAAGAGATTCGTTATATGTTAGAGCTGTTCAGAAAGAAATGAAAATATATATACCAGAATAAAAACTGCAAAAAATAGTTACTACAGGAAAATTATAGACGAAACTAGGACCAATTTGTATGAATTGTGGAAAAATCTGAAGACTGTAAGTACTTCCAGGACAAAAACATGCTCTGCCAGATGAAATCGGTTTCGAACAACAGGGATTAATGAATGAACTGATTGGTGAGAAGCATGAGGAATGTGGGAGGTGGTGAAAGAGGAATTTCCACTAAGATTTCTAGAGATGCCTTTAGTGTTGTTGGTAACTGCTTTCTTGATATTGTTAATGCTTCGCTCTCAAGTGGACAATTTCCTGAAGCTTGGAAAGCCTCTACTGTGATACCAGTTCCTAAGGGGCAAAACAGCAACAAGTGCACCCAGTTTCGACCTATCAACACCGTTCCGGTGTATGAAAAGCTACTTGAACTCACTGTTAAGCAACAACTATTTATTAGAGTTTTGTAATGAAAACTATATCTTAGTGAAAGATCAATGAGGGATCGTATTTTCAAATTCATTCGAGTACATTTCGTACACGGAATTTGACTGACAGCAACGTAAATTGAATGGGGAGCATCCGAAATCGTATCAAATTTCGTATGCGAGAATATTCGAAAATACGACCCCAGGTTTCCGTGAGGGGTATTCTTGTGAGTCAGTAATCGTAAGTATTTGTGACGATTTTCTAAACGCAATCGATTCTGATAAATATGTATTAGCTGTATTTTTACACTTTAGCAGAGCCTTTGAAACGGTGAATAGGGACATATTAATATTAGTGAATAAGTTGAAACATATAGGTTTAAGAGATACTGTGTTAAGTTGGTTCGAGTCGTATTTTTGCAACTGAGTACGAGTTAAATTTAAGAATGAATTGTCTGATTTTATGTCTGTCGAATAGCACAGTGTTTGGTCCATTATTGTTTTTGTTGTATATTAATGATATTGTAAATGTGGTAAGTGATACTAAAATTGAGTTATTCGAACTATGATTTACATAACTGGAAACAATTTAAGCGAAATGCAGACGGTTGTAAATAATGACTTAGGAAATATATTTGATTGGTTGTGGACAAATGGCTTATGTTTGAATACTGCTAAATCTAAGTTCTGTTTATTTGGGAAAAAGCAAAAATTGTCCAGTGTTGACCGAAATCAAATAAATATAATTATAAATGGTGATAGAATTGAGTATGGGGAGGAAATAAAGTATCTCGGTGTAATGTTGGACCCAAATCTAAAATTCTCTTCCCAAAAAAAAAAGATTTCATGTGTAGAGAAGGTATTAGATATAATATATAGATATTTAACATCATAGACATAAAACTTCTGATATACAATAGTATTGTTGCGCCCCATTTGGAATTTTGTTCAACTTTGTTATGTAATATAACAAATTACAAAATGCAAGAATTTCAAAAAATACAAAACGGAGCCATGAAAACTATTTTATATTGTGATAGATACACACCAATACATAATATGCTTAATGTTTCAAACATGCTGTCTGTGAAATAATAGTTATTTGTATACCAAGGCCGCGAAATGCCTTTTTAGCGTACGTAGAGAAAAGTAATCGCCTCGGCCGCTTGCGGCCGAGGCAAGATAATCTCGAGGACGCTAAAAAGCCGTGCGAAAGCCGAAATGCTTATTCGCGCATTGAGTCAGGTAACAAATACAAGACAGGAAACCAAAAATAATTAAAATTCACCTGCCTTTGACTGTAAATGCAATTGAAGCTTCGAATGGTCGATAATTAAAAGGAGTTGTAGAAAAAATATTGTTTGCAACTCATGCGCGAAATACTTTGGTAATCTCGACTATAAATCAGTTCTCGATCACCAAAGTAGCATTTCGCGCACTAGATCAGGGATTCATCAAGTCAAGTAGCTTGAATTTTTTCTTAAATACTTGACTTGACTTGAAAACTCAAGCTTTTGAAAATTTGATATTTGACTTGACTTGATTTTCGGTCTGAACTACTTGACTTGATATCAAGTAAAATCAAACTACTTGATATTACTTGATAGCGATCTGTGAAATGCGCATCGAAGCGTTAAAATAGGGGATTCACCGAGGTTAAATAGGGGATTCAGCGAGGTTACAGCAAGGCCCAGGAATTCGGAATATTTCGTATTTTTATTTCATAATATTTTATTTATTATTTAACTGAGTTTGTTAGAGTTTTCGTTTTTAAATGTTTTTTAAATAAAAGATTACATCTATTTATAGGGTGTCCGGAAAGTCAACCATAATACTGGAAGGGCTGATGGAGCAAGTCATTAGCATCCAGAAAAACATAATATGACCTTAGTAAAAAATCGATGGTTTCCGA